CAAGTAATGTTTTTTTTATTTCTTTTGTTTAACTATTATGTTTTGAGTGTGAGAAGTGAGTAAGCATTCGCAAACTATCGCTCCAATCCCAAAATCCAACTAAGGGTGGAATGCCATGAAAACATTAAGAGTATAGTCTTCCTATTCTTTATTTCAACTTTATGGTATTGGTGGTAACGCGCCAAGGCTCTCCAATGCTGGTTCTTCTATTCTGTTATCACAACTTGGTTGGTGTGAGAAGGCCATTAAGCATTTCAAGTATTGTTCTTGCTATTATTGAATTTCAACTTATTGTTATTGTTGGAATGCATTAAGCATTTCAAGTATTGTTCTTCTATTCTTTATTTCAACTTATTGTTGGAATGCATTAAGCATTTCAAGTATTGTTCTTCTATTCTTTATTTCAACTTGTTATTGTTGGAATGCATTAAGCATTCCAAGTATTGTTCTTCTATTCTTTATTTCAACTTATTGTTGTTGTTGGAATGCATTAAGCATTTCAAGTATTGTTCTTCTATCACCCGAAGTTGGCTGGGATGGACTCCAGCCCCCCCCCCTGTGTGCAGGATAAGCGGTTTGACAATGGATGGATGGATGGATGGAAGTATTGTTCTTCCAATCTTTATTCAACTTATTCTATTTCTTCCGTGGCACCTTTCATCTCCTTCACACTTTCAGCTATTAAAACTGTTCCAATATTAAAATATGGGAAAAGTACTACTAGTATTTCTACTGGTATTAATACTACAATTACTACTAATGTTACTACAAATACTATGACTAATATTAGTGTTCCAGCTGATACTTAACCTATTACTACTGCTAGTACTATTACTACTTCTACTGCTAGTACTATTAATACCACAATTACAACTATAACTAATACTTCTACTAATATTACTACAAACAATTGAAAACCTCTTTATTCATCTCAGCTTTTGTCATTTCTGTATTTTTTTTTATTCATTCAAGCTCCTGCAACTATTTTTTAGAAAATCTATTGAAATTCAGCTTCTCATTTCTGTATTTTCAGCAGTTCTCTCAAATAATTTTAGCTTTTCTTATGCCTGTATTAACAGCAATATTTTAATATTGATTTCTGTATTTTTTTGCAATATTTAACATTCATTTCAGCTGTTTTCATTTCTGCCTTTTCAGCAAATCTATTAAATCCTTTCAGCTTCTCCCATTTCTGTATTTTCAGCAATTTCAAATTAATTTCAGCTTTTCTAATATCTGTAATTTTAGCAAATGTATTAAAATTCCCTTCAACTTTCTGTAATTTCAGCAATTTTCTGAATTTCATTTCAGCTTTCAGCTTTTTGCCTTCCAACGCATTTTCAGCAGGAATTGCATTTTCTAGTTACAGATACTCTTTCCTCTCGTGACCAAATATTTGCTTTTAGTATCCATTTTTATAAAACCAGATTAGGTGTTAATTATAAGTGTTAACGTTCCCCTTTGTAGACTCTGTCAGCGCTGTAGTTAAATGATTCTATTGAAGCTCTGATCCAATGGGGTTACGTTAGGCACCTTATCTGCTGCTGTTCTGATTGTTTCCCATCGTTGATGATCTGAAGGTGCTTTTGTCTTGAACAGGTTCAGTGGTTAAAATAGACTGCACCCCTCGGTCAAGAACATGGTGCGTCCCCTGTGTGGACGAGACGTATATGAACCAACCCAATAGGCTGACTAAGTGCTTCCCCTGCAGCTCCTGTGACCAAGGTACGTCCATAATCAGCTGAGTCACCTTTCACTCTCAGGACACCCTCCTGTTATACTGGACAAAATTAAACCGAATAAAAGACACAAAGCAACTATTTGCAACCCTGGTAATGGATGCAACTTGATTCCCAATGAATCTGATGATGTGCTGTGAGGTTGATGCCACGTTGGCTGTAAAGAGGACCGTAGTCATTGTGTTGTAGCAGGTAAGTGTTTTATATGGAGCCTTGAATGCAGCACATTGTATATCTGTACAGTTTATTATCAGTGATACAGCTTATTGACATTATGAACTAACAATACAGTAAATGTATCAATGTCCACAAACGTTGTCTTTAAGTGGAAAAATGAGTGATGTAATTACAAAGTGACTTGCTTTATCTTTTCTTAGTACATTTACTTACCTGTCTGTCACATTTCACAATGTCAATTCCCTGCGTTTACATTCAGTTTTTATTTTGTGACAGACTTCATATAATACAGCTCTTTCTCTTTAAGCTGTAAGGTAGTTTTCCATCGACCTCTCTGCTCTTCTGTCCGTCTCATATCATTCAGTTCATTTGTTGCAATCCGCTGTCCAGCATCTTTGTTTAACTATAATATAATGAGTCTGTGTTGGTTTTCAGGCCGTGGTCTCTTTGCCAAACAGAACTGCACATCAACAAGTGACACCGTCTGTGACGTCATCGCTGGTCACTTCTGCACGGACCTGATAGAAGATGAAGAATGCCGTTCGGCACGCAGACATTCAGACTGTGAACCTGGTCACAGGGTCAAAGAGCCTGGTGAGAAAAACTCCAGTCACACAGTGACTACGTCCACGGCTCGTGGTGGTGCAGCTGGTTATTGATCTCTTTGGCCACAGCTCAGGCACGTCTGTGACTCATGTCCATGTCCAGCACACCTTCTAGGTCTCCTCCAGTCTGGTCTCTGAGGCCTGAACTCTTTCACTAGATTCAGCATGCAGACACCACGACGTATACGAGGATAAGCAACGGTTCTTCTAAGTACAGCTGCAGTAAACATGATCTCTATACTCCAACTGGCCTCCTCAGGTCACTTACAGCAGGATTTATTGAGCCTCTCGGGTAGCGTGAACGTCATCAGGTCTCGGGTACGAGTGTGCATGAGCACTCCCTTGATGAACACATGGATCTGATTCATGATGCTGGTCGTTGGGTTCCTGTGTCGTTCATCTCAGCTTTGTCTGTTTCTCCAAGGGACCAGAAGAACTGACACAACGTGTGAACCTTGTCCCGCAGGCAGTTTTTCACCGGAGGGTGTGAATTGTTCACTTTGGACCAAGTAAGACCTTGTTTGTTAAAGGATGTCTGTAAAAGGTGTGCTGTAATAAACGTATAAGCATAGTGATCCCACTATGCTTATACGTTTATTACGTTGACCAGTAGTCAAGTTTCCCCTGAGATGGACCAACCCCCCATCGGGAGATTCAAGACGTCACCAACCCCCCAGGCCCGTTTCATTTGGTCACTTTCAATACATCTACAAGCGTTCCTGGTAATGTTCCGTTTTTAACACCAAAAGCACTAAAGCTCTTCTTCATTTCTCTTTTTTGACAGTTGTTCAGAAAACCAAGTGGAGGTCAAAGGAGGAAACCTGACCAGTGACACTGTTTGTGGAGCTGCTTCAAGAGGCCTTTACTGGTTAATACCTGTACCTGTAGTTGTACTTGTAATGGTACTAATAGGAACACTGGTTGTCCTCTGGATCAAAAGTTAGTACTTGTCTTTGCAACCCTCATCTGATTGGCTGACATGACTTTGTTCCATCGTTGCCTTCACAGCCTTATTGTTTAAGCTGATACCTTTCTTGCTTTTGTATTTCAGGGAGAAATCAATAGAACCAACAGGTACGTTGGCTCCATATGCAAATGTTTGTCTCAAATAGGCTGCACCACATTAAATCTGCTCCATCACAGAGAACCTCCCCCCTGTAATCTGGGAAACAGGGAACCGTATTTTGCATTAGTGCGCTAATTGAACTCGTACGTTAACCCTCAACCTGAGGAACCCGTTTTGGAAGAAGATCTTTGCTCAAGTGTCAGAGTCCGACTTTTACAAGCTTCATGAGGTTGAAGCCTGCTGGATGTTGTTGGGACGCCTCAAAGTTAATTCATTAAATGCAAATGTCAGTGAAGACGGACTAAGTAGTAGCAAGTAGCTCAGACTGCTGCGCCCCGTCGGTGAGCAGAGAACAAGATATCTATCTGCACGCTGCATGACGGAGTGTGCAGCTGTTCAACCCGTATGCCGCCCAGCCCGAGTGCACACCACGACATCTGACCCACTTCTGTCTCACTAACACAAGTAATAACAGCACACACATTCACTACATACAGGTATGTTCAACCACCCGTGATCCCATAACTTCAGCATCTCTCTGGTGTCTGGAGGAGTTCAGTTCAGTGGCTGCAGGACGAGCTGTTCTTCCATGTGGTTTGAAATGAGTGCTGTGGGACAACGGTCCAACGTGTTGACATCTCAGCAGGGGCCCGGGAGCAGCGTAGCATCTGGGGAAGAGACGTCGGTGTGTCTGCAGGAGTCCAGTCAGGAAGGACCTGAAGGAATGTTGAGGGTGGAGCGGGGACCCTTGAGTTGTAGACAGAAGGGCGGACAGAACTCCAGATATGGCCGCCCTGGAGGCCCAAGACGTTATCAGGACGATGACTGGATGCTGAATCAACAGACCTCCCCCACAACGCCCCGGCTATACCCACAGTTTGTACGCATGCTGGAATTGTGGTGACATTCATCACATGAGGTGACTGTCTGGAGCTTTACAATCCATCACCACGCAGTCCACCAGCCAGCTACAGCAGCGCGGGGACAAGGACCACCGCCTCATCATCACAACTAGGGATAGCCAGAGGGGAAGTACAGGCTCAGCGTACTCACACTTATGCCCCTGGAAGAACCCACCATTACTTACAATGTAGAGCCCACTCACGGACTGCAGAGCTGGTGCGATAGAGTGGGAACCCGGAAACCAGAGCCTCGCTGCCCTCTTAGTAGCCACGTTTCTGCCGCTGGTGCTGGTTCCAGTGGGAGCCTTGGCCTGAAGGCCATGGCCAGTAGGCTCCTGGGGGACCTGCGACAGCGTGTGGTTCAACAGGCTGGTGCAGAGGTGCTCAGGGAGTGACTGAATGCTGACCATAGGCTGGGCTCTGAGGGGGACCAGGACCGGGACCAGCCAAGTGTACCTGGAAGTCACTAGAGTCGCCGGCTGCTCTCCCTCCTCTTCACTGAGATGAGGAGAGGATGAAGGTGAACTGGCACCTTACCCAGGAACGATCAAGAGGGTGAATGAAACATTTGTATTCCGCCTGCTTGATTTATAGGCAGGGTTCATACAGTCATGAAAAACCTGGAAAAGTCATGGTATTTTGTTAAATGAACCACATGAACATAGAAATATAAGATACATATAATGTACAATGTACAGCTATGATTTTATTCAATGTAATCAACCGAAATCCGTCATGTGCTCAGGAAGAACCCACCATTACTCACAATGTAGAGCCCACTCACGGACTGCAGAGCTGGTGCGATCGAGTGGGAACCGGGAACCAGAGCCTCGCTGCCCTCCTAGTTGATACGTTTCTGCCGCTAGTGCTGGTTCCAGTGGGAGCCTTGGCCTGAAGCCCATGGCCAGTAGGCTCCTGGGGAACCCGCGACAGCGTGTGGTTCAACAGGCTGGTGCAGAGGTGCTCAGGGAGCGGTATTGATATTGAGTAAGAGACCTATGAAATCCAAGTTACATTCAACGCAGCATTCAGTGTCATACCTCATTGCACCACTTTCTCTATGGAACACTCCAAATACCCAGCTACCTTGGACGCGCCTGACGTCATGTGCTCAGAGGCGTGGACGCTGCCGCCCGCACCGACTCTAACCCAATCACCACAGAACTCTGTTAGACCAACAGCATAGTTAGTGCACCTTGATTGTCTTTACATGTACGTGTGTCCCCTTGTTGGGGATTCGTGGGTGGAGCCGGTAGACGGTTAACTACGTCTTGGTCAAAGGACTCGCTGTGGTCTGAGAATCCTCGGCTGAGGTGGTGACTTTTTTTAATTAAATTCTTTTGACTAACTTTTCGATCCGAGATGTCTTCTGTCCGTCTGGAGTTTCTTCATTTTGAAAGACAACAAACCATCAGAGGGCGACTGGCGAAGCTACACGGCGAGCAGCACGTCTCTCTCCGGCTAGCGGCTCTGCTGCTGGCGGCGGGTCCAAGTTGTAAAGCGGCTTCCTTTTCTTACGCGAATGACCGGAGATCGTTTGATTCTTTCCGTTTTGTCTTTATTTTACGCAGCAAAGCGTCAACGTGACAGATAAACGATGTGCTCTCGTGCCTCGTGCAGCTCTTCTGTGTTACCTGCTGCAATCATGACGTCATACATGGAGACACACAAGGAGCGTCAGTCCAACATGAAGGTTTCCATATCTCACATATCTTTAGTTCCAATGACCATAGATTAAATGATTAATACTTCCCAAATTCCAATGAAGTAATACAAACACTTCTGGCTCTTAGAGACTGTACATATGCTGTAAACTGTTAACAGTTCATATATTGTCCATAAAGTAAAAAAGGTATTGTTTCAGGTACTGTTTGTTTTAGAAGTGTGTTTTTAGCACTGGGGGGTATTCCAGAAGAGGTTATAACAAACTCTGAGTCTGTCCTTGAACTAGTTGACTCACTCTGAGACGGGATGATCTGCGTTAGTTCAATCGACTGAGTATGTTCACCTTTGAGTTGAGCGCGTGCATGACGATTATAAAAAGCCCGTCATCAATGGAGC